GTAATCTTGCATTCTATCAATTCAATTTAGAGCATTTTTTCAAACTGAAAATCTTCAAGTTTGCAGTTGTATACTAAACTTTTCCATTAACAAGCTTTTACCATATACATCTCCAGTAAATAGGAGGATACAACTTTTGCTGTAATGTTAGCTGATGGAACTTCGCCTAACTTATAAAATTAGGTTAAGTTTTGTTAAAAAGGTCGATCCTGTGACAAAAACTAAAAGCGTTCTCACTTGGGCAGCTGGGCACGCCAGTCTTTGGCTGCGCTATAACTACTAAATATTAATTATAAAGACCTCCATAAAACGGCAAAGCGCTTTGATCTTGTCTAAAATTTGTTGTGGAGGAATATGAATACAGACTTTTTCACCGAAAGTAGGTTTACCGGAATGTTTCAACCTGCGTCTTTAAAGCTGGACAGTAGAAGAGAGTCTCTAACTTACCTCTATGCAATGCATACAATGGAAACAAGTAAGGAAGAACTAAGTTCGGGTGTAACCAAACATTATAAAATCTTACAACTGGCAAGGATGAAAGCCAGGGACTTACTTTCAGGCGTTGGCAAAACTTTATATTAACACTAAGGGGGGCTAACGGATGTATTGATCCGATCCGATATCCAGGAAGGGATTATTTCTGAATTTCAATCTCACAGATTGGCGGATATTTTCGATAAAAAGTTTGCAATAGGAACTGAGCATATTCACATATTCGGTATTTGGAGGCTTGAATAGTTTTAGCCCGATTTGGACAATTTTCAGTCATCAGATGGCACATCTTAAAGGCACTATTCGAACAACGTTTTATCTCAATGAATCCATTGGTGCCTGACTTGTATAATGAAAAGTGCAAGAATCAGATGAAATTTAAAATTCTGTTTTATGGAAAGTAGGCGTGGTTGTTATCCTATTTCGCCCATTTTCGTACTGTGACATAGTAAAGTCAAAAAAAATGCATATACCAAATTTGGTTGAAATTAGGCAAACAGTTCTCAAGATATGGATTTTCACCTTAATATGGACAGTGCCACGACCATTATCCAATTTTGATACGAGCTCCTATAAAGCTTGTTTTTATCATCTCTGTTGCAAAATTTAGTATCTCCTATATGGGAACTCGTTCTTTCAAGATATCACGGTCGAACGGATAGACGGGCGGACAGACAATCATTCGGTTCTCAATTTGTCTCGTCATCCTGATAATTTATATATACATATGCATGTAAGTTTATATCTATCTCGATTAATTTAAGGTGATACAAACAACCGTTAGATAAAACATTGTTTTCAGTTGAGAAAAAGCTCTGTTAATGCGATGTAATGGCTTAATGAATGTTACGGCAAATCTGCCTAATCATATTCAACGGGCAAGCATCGGTGTGCTGAATTTCATCGTAGTCATAGCAGTACAAATGACACACCCTATTTCGGAAGGCCGACAGTTGGACGACAGTAAAAGGATATTTAGATAAGTATTGCATAGGTCTTATCATTCATGAATTTTTACATACGAAAAAGCTTTGTTCGCTTTGGGTACTGCGTTTTTTGAAATCGATCAAAAAGATATTCATTCAATGGATAAATTGGCGCTGATCAAACGCAATACGAACGGGTTTCTATGCCGATTTGTGATAGTGAAAGAAACATGGATACAACTGCACATACACATGTGAGTCCCACCGGCAATTCGCCTAGGGGTTATCTTATATAACTTACCTCAATAACTTTGAAAAGAGTAAGTTACTATGTTCATATAAGCACTGCTAGCATCTCGCTTGCTATTGTTGTTGTAAAATTTAAGTTAAGTGTGTAGGTATATTTGTTAAAAATTAAGCATTATGTAAACTTCGACTAGGTTGTGAGTAAACAAATCTGCAGACTACTGCAGCGGACTTATTAAAAATAAATGCAACAACAAAATGGGAGATAAGTATATTACAGTTCTAACAATCAATCCCTTATACAAAGTTTGTGATTTCATGTGAGGTACACTGAGAGAAAACACCTATTAATAAACAATAGCTTATTGCCTACGCTTCTTTGAACTAATCTTTACACCTAACGCTCTTCTGGCAATCCTTTACCTAAACCCTTTTCGTTTCTGAAGTGCACCACATGCTCATACATATATGTATTTGTGTACTCGTATAAGAACGTCCCGTGTCTTCTGACGCTTTAATCAGGCTTTTCCTTCACCATCGCAATTGGCACTCTATCGGGCTGCCGCATCAACTGCATTACGCATATCAACGGGCGGCTTAGAACCTCTCATGTGCACCGGTTTTGCCGTTACGCCATTTCGGCGCGTTGACGATGCCAAATAATTGTAGCTCGGGAGGCGCTAATAATGGTGGTTGTGTTGATTTAATCAACAGAAGACAGTATGTGCACACTCAGTAGGAAAAATTGAGTTTGTTGGCGCAAATGTAGAGCTCAGCAGTGTATGGTTCATTTTAATATAACATTAAAAATGTAAGGAAGAGCTAAGTTCGGGTGGAACCGAACATTTAATGCTCTTGCAACTAGCAAGAAGCAAAGCTGGGGAAATACTTTCACGTATTGGAAAAATTTTACAATAAGTAAGTAAAGAAGGGCTAAGTTCGGTTGTAACCGAATATTTTATACTCTTGCAATTTGCAAGGATCAAAGCCGGGGACTCACTTAGACTTTGTTAACAATTCAACATTGCGAAACAATTCAACATTTATTATTCGAAGAAATCGTAAATGGATTACAATAAAATTTGGTACCTTATTACTTTATATTGAAGGTCATAGGCCCATTTAATTTAACTCGCGTCAACGAAAATTATATTAAAATTATGCTCAAAGGTGGAATATGTGACAAAAACTCAACCTAAGAGGCTAAATTTATTATATTAAGTTGATGTGGAAAACGTCCATCAAAGGTACAAAATTCATTATACAAGGTATATAATTTAGACAAATTCCATTCAAATTCAGCGCATAACCAATAATATAATTTTATAAGTAAAAAAAAACTTCTCAATTTAATTTCTTTAAAATACCACACATTTTGACCAATCTAAACGGTTTAAAGTCAGCTGAAAAGTCGGAAATGACTATACAGGGTATTGGCAGCAGAGAAAGGTACGGGCTTGCTGCTATACCATTTGAGATTGCTCAGGTATACCGAGAACATATTTTCAAGCAATTTTTTAAATAAATAACTCAGGCACTGACCGACATATTGGGGATAAGGCTTGTTAAAATAACGAAAATCATTTATGTACATACTTGTATATCATATGTGAATTGGGGTAATTTGTATACTAAATTCACATATTTTTGACATTCAACTATTGTTTATCCGGATGGTTGATATCCTGATATTGGTTAAATGGGGGCTCGGAAAAGTTTTACTGATTTTATTTATGCGGAAAGGTACACCGTTATTAAAAGGGGCTAAGCGAATTATTGACCCAATTCAACTTATTTTTGACATACAGGTATACTATTATCAGAAAATAATTCTATCCGAATTTCCACAATATATCTCACAGATTGACTGATATTCTCGATAAAAAGCTCGTAATTGGGACTGGGTTTTCATTTAAATGCCCATCGTCTTACTTTGACCCCGGCTCCTATAAAGCCCTTTCGTACCATTTATGGATTTATCACATTTTTTTTTGTTTTTAACAATACCGTTATATGGAGAGTGGACGGGGTTATAATCCGAATGCACCCATTTTCACACTGTCAGTAAAGAAAATCAAATTCGAATTTTCGTAGTTAAATTGTCCATTCAAGAGGAGTAATTTGTACAAAATTAAAGTCACGGATATAATTTGTTCTTATTATACAAGCATGCCGCAAGCATTGCTGTTATAAGTATACTAATATGTAGCAGAATTTCCTGCAGGGTATGTTTATTAACTACTGCATCAAACAGCAAGTATGATAATTAAAAGCGAACGCCTATAAATACACGTTTGTAGTGAAGTAACGAAAATAAAATTATTGTCGTGAAATTGTGCCAGTATCGGAGTGTTCTAATATTGATCGCTTAGATTAAACACAGCGGTGTTCTCACGGTCCATCAGTATTACAGTAGTTACGCGTATACGCTTCCAATTAAAAATACTGTTTTCCTTAATTCAATTTACAGTTGTTTAAGCAACTAACGATGTTTTTATTTTATTATATTATTGAATCACTTCGAAAAAAGCTTCTCTTTAATCTTTCGTTTTTAATTGTATGTTCCTATATTGCCACTATCGTTTCCAGCCAATTTATGCTCTTAATTCTACTAATTTACTTCTTAAACTACCGACAAATGTATGTTCATTACATGAATACAACGTTCTTAATCCCTTTACAGTAGATTTGAAAACTATTCAACTAGGATTGTACACACATTTAAACAAGGCAAAGCTAAGCATTTTTCTACGTATAAGTGTTTGCATGTAAGCAATTTTGACTGACAACAATTTTTATTAACTATAAATATTTATTTTATCAATAAGTTCATTAATTATTTAATTAATTGTAAATAAAATACAATTTGGGTTTGTGATTTTACATACAAATAAGAAATGCAAAAGAAAAGAGGTTCTCAATGAAAATGTTTAGGAAGAAGATGAACATGGTATATTCAGTTTGCCAAGTAGTTTGTAACACCCAGAAGAAACATATCTATGGTAAATGATCAGCGTGCCCAGCTGAGTCGAATTATCCATGTCCGTCTGTACATACTCAAATTAGTTCCTATTTTTGAGAAATTTATGTGAAATGCACACGACCTTTTCTCCCCAAGAAACTGCTTATTTGTGGGAACTGATGATTTTGGACAACTATAGCATATAGCTGCCATACAAACTGAACAATCGTAATAGTATGGAAAACTTTTTAATTTGACGAGATATCTTCCCCAAATTTGCAACGGATCATTATCTCAGGCAATAATGGAATATCCGGAGAAATTGTTCAGATCGGACCACTATAGCATATAGCTGACATACAAACTACCCGATCAATCTCAAGTCCTTGTATGAAAACCTTTTTTATTCGACATGATGTCTTCACGAAACTTGTCATGGATTATTGTCCTAATCTCCAAATGAATTTAACAGATCAGACATGCTATATAGCTGACATATAAACTGACCCACCCAAATCAAGTTTTTGTATGGAAACATTTTTAATTGTGAGGCGTTTTAGCTTTCGAACAACCGATGTTAACGTTTTTTTTTTTTTTTTTTTGGTTTTAAACAAATCGGACCTCTTTATACCTTTTCATGTCGCTGTTTATTCTTCAAGATATATGTATGTGTTAGTAAATATATTTTTTTCTTCTCTGTTTTGTCACCCGATAAATTCCTCAGATAGCATTAACTTTTGTCTCAATCTGTATTCATCGCTTAAAATATAATTATTATAATATAAATATTGTTTATAAGTTTTCTTTCGACATCTTTGTTGATTTCAAATGGAAAACTTCTCATTGGAAATGGTGTTACATAATAAGTGGGCGTGGTTCTGATTTAAGAAATTTCATCTAAAAGTGGGCGCTGCCACGCCTATCGGATTTTTATTATGACATTAATTCCTCTATCTCTGTATCTACAAATCAAACTATATTTAAGTTTTTGAAAAATATTTTCAAATGAAAATTTAATTACTAACGTAATTCAAAATGAGTAATATTCTGAGGTATATTATGAGCGGTGACGTCATTAATTTAAGAATGAAAAGAGGAAACAGAAAAACTGTTTACAAGTTACACAGCGAATGTAAAATATATATATTTACATAGAAATATATATATATATTACATTTTCTGAGTTACAAGCCATTTGATAGTTTCCTATGTTGCCTCTTCTCATTCTTAAATTTATTACGTCACGAAGGCGCAATCTTGTTGCTATCATTCTTGTAAAAACTGAACATAATTGCTTGGTTGTTTCGTATAATCTTTCTTATAACTTTGCCGTATAATTTTTTTGTATATGACTCGTAGTTTTGTCAGAAATCGAGTTAAACCGTCCTTAACTCTTAAAAATTCAACCTCAATGGGTTTCAATCCACCATGATTTTTTTTTGCTTTCAAAAATTGTCTACCCTGGCCTAATAATAATAATTGTCAGTTCGTTCTCACCTGATATACAGTTATGTACAATATTCTAAAAAAAATTTTCGAAAGTTATACAAGGACTTGGCAGGACTTTTTCAAAGGAATGATAGAATTAACCTACATACCATATAGCATGTGGAATTTATGAAAAAAACTAAGAAAAAAATGTAATTATGTAAAAGTAAAAATGTTTCGATTTTTGAAGAAATGTGTGTTTATCGTTATGTATTTATAAAGATAAATGTAAAAAGCATTGAATATTAGTTTATGGTCACATATATTACTTTAATTTTGCTTTCTAGTTATTGTTTAGTTTCGATGTTTAATCTTTAGGAGTTCTACTTAAGATTAGGTTAATTGATGTTAAGCACTTATACATAAAATCCTATATACTCTGTATTTACAATTGTATACACATACAAATCTCCATCATGATCGTATGCTATAAACGAGCAACTTAGCTATTTACAGTTTTATAATTTGTCAATATTATTTAAATGACAAATATATTGCATTATTAACTTATTTGAATTTTTTCGTATTATTTTGCTAAACAACCAACTATATGTTTAAATAGCATTTGAATTTTGAAGGACTTTTCCTAAATTGCCGTCATACCTATCTGAGTATACAAGTATGTAAGTATTACTCACGTATAATATGATTCGGAATTTTTGTATGATTTTTTTTCGTTTGCATTATACTATATTTCTTTATGGAGTCCCCAGACATTTATCTCTAAAGATCACATTTTTTTCTTAATTTGCCAAAGTTGTCCAAGCCAAGTTTATATAATATATTAAAAAGAAAAACTCGAATTAAACTTGAATTATCATTGATATAGCCTTTAAAAAATCATAATTTATTAACATTTTTATTTAGTAAGACCAATCATTTCCTTATTGTGGCCTTCTAATTATTATTTCTGAAGAATGTATTTGTAGAACATTAAAACCTCTAACAACCCTCAATGTTTCATTTTCGCTCAGGTTTCCCATAAATGGTAAAGAAGTTTATATATTTCACAATAAGAAGTTATAACAATGAATAATTTGGCTTTATTCGAGATTTTTCAAAAAATTTACCATCTATCTTTGAGCTTGGAACACTATAGGACACTGCAAAAAATTATCGCGACTTTTGAGACAAAATGGTGTAGTCTTTTATTTCCATAACTGTCACATAATTGTCTTTTATGAATTGGCTGATTTTATACATTACATCTGTTCATTTACATAAGTAACTATCGCATAACGCTAATATCCATTTAGTAGTTATTATATATAAATCTAATAACACTGATCAAGTTTTCTACTTTTTAAGGTGACATACAGCATTTCTCAAGTTTTGATACATATGTATGTACATTATTTTAATTTTTGAATTACGTAATTACAGTATAAAAGTATGCGGTAACGAAAATAAACGCCTTGGATAATTTCAACTAATGTAAAAATGTTATGGGTCGGAAGATTTAAACTTAAATTAAATTAACAGTTTATATAATAATCCAATTGAGGAAGCCAAAGTCATACTGTTATATATAATTTAGTTATTTAGGAAACCCTAAAACAGATTATGTGCACCTTTTCTTGCAGGATAGAAGTGAGATACGTGTCACAAGGAAAGACCACTAGTAACTTTCTTATAAAGATATTTGCATATATTTGAAGTTGGCTTTTTTAAACTAAGATACTAAAGTATCTTAATAGAATCACCTATTGAATTAAAAAAAAACTACTATTGGAGTAGTTGTACCACTTTATTGTTTCAAATAACTTCTTTTAAATAAATTTTCTTTGATTCCAAACTGAAATATTGAATTTGTACAATATTTTAATTTGCTTAAATGTACAATTAAAAGTATATGGCAACCCTTTTAAGAAAATGCCAATAAAGTGTTTTAAAACCTGCTCATTTTAAAAATGTCTCCGTAATAGCGTAAGTTCAGTTCCATTAGTTAAGAAATTTAAACAGCTAAGGGCCCCTTAAAAAAATACTATCGACCTTAAGCCTTTTTGGTCGAAGGTTTATTGTAATAATTTGTTTATAATAATATGTTTATTAAATTAAAATTTTCAAAGAGACAAATAGGCATTAAAATCAGTTCAATCTGCACCTTAGTGTCACTCTGTATACTGCGAACTTGACAAATTTTGGTTACATAACACCAATTCGTTGCAGTTGACCTGTTTTAGTAGGAAACTTTTCTTAAAATATTGAAATATCTGAGTTCAAGTATACAATGATATTTAATAACTTCTAAAACTATATACATTTTCCCAGTTCTTTATATACTATAACTAAGTAAATCGGTGAAATTAAAAAATAACTGTTGTTTATTCAATATGAATTACGTGAAACGATTTTTTCTACCTTATGTACAAGTTTTCAAATCAATTATGGTTAAGCAACTCTTTCGTATCCAAACTATCCAATGAGTTTACAATTTTCTTAATTATTCTACGTAGTGAAATTGAGTGTATATTTGTAAATTTTCGGATTTATATAAATTCTCGAAATGGTTCATCATAACTATTATTGTTATCGCTCGCATCAAAACCATTGTTGAGTAGTAATGTAGTTGTCGGTTGTTGTAACATCAATTGATTGTGATTCGCTTGCATTAGATGTTGCGACAATTGTGGCTGCATATGGCTGAGACTTTGATTCTGTATTTGTATGGTCGTGGTGGCGGTGGTAAGACGAGGTTGCTGATTCACCACATCTGTCGCAGCCAAGGCGCAATCGTATGAATTTGTGCCATTTGTAAGAACGTCATCATAACAGGGTCCAGGTCCAGGTCCAGGGCCAGGCCCAGAACTATTGCCGCCAACGCCAGTATTTAGATTTAAAATGCCAACGCCAACACCAACGCCGAGTCCAACGTCGCCAACTCCGCCGATACCACCATTGCCGCTAAGATCGGTGGTGGCGCCATTCAAAATGACACCATTCAAATCCAATGATGACTCTTCATTGCGCTTCGAGAGAATTATATGCGTTAAATTTATTATGTAGTTTTTGGCCAGTGTTAAAGTCTCAATTTTAGATAGGCGACGCTCCATTTCCACGTGTGGAATAACTTCACGCAACGACTAAAATGTAAAATTAGGTATACAGAGTTATAGGTATGTGGAATTTCTGTTTGATTTTATAAATCCGACAAACAAAATCTTTACAGCATTCTTAAATAATTTCTTTCATTGCCTGGTTGGTTTCTTCGCTCGCCATACTTCGCACATTAAAATACATAAGTGCTTACAAAATTTAACATAAAATATATACTCGCATGAAAACATACACACTGCATGGCTGACATTACCTGAAAAGCGTCGTTTAAGCTGTGCATTCTCATGCGTTCGCGCTCGTTTGACTCCAATCGCCGCAGATTACGCTCCTTTGCATTGAGAACGCCTTTCCTGCGGCGGCTTTGTGTGGAGCCCGTTAAGGAATTCCTAGCTCGACTGGATGGGCGTGCACTGCCACCGTTGCTGCTACCACCGCCGCCGCTTGTATCATCGCTCTGTGAACTTGAATCTGTCATTTCCATCTCATAATTATTATTGCTTAACTGAAATGCAAAGGGAAAGAAATTGTTCTACATTCTGCTGGACTGTCACGAACTACAAATGAACTACAATTTCTTTACTTTCAACCCACATACAACACAGAAATACTTAATGTGCCCACATATACAAATCCATACATAATAAATGCATATGAAACCTCAAATATATAAAGCCATTTCTGCCAGCCGGAAAATGAAAATATTTAAGAAATCGTTGTATGAGACACCAACCCAATTTTAAGGGCGGTTCGATAAATACTTAGCTTCAACCGCTGATGACGCCACTATCGTGTCGTACGTTCTCGTAGAGAATTTAGAGAAAAGGAAAAATATCCGTATCTGTCGATGATTGGATTCTGGTTTTTGGAACGGAAAATGCGCAGTAAAATCAAATAGCACTTAAATGGTGTATACGACGATTCTTTTCCTTTGTCTATTAACGAGTTTCAACGTGGTTTTACGTAGGTTTTTGAAGACCCCTGCCGTACTAATGCAACCAAAATATTTATCAAGGTGACCCCTTATTATTGGAATCCAGTTATTCTAGCATCTGATGAAAGTTGATTTTTCAGCGTTCTAAAGTGTGATATAAACGATTAAAATCAGAATTGGTTCTAAATCCTTAGAAACTCAATTCAAAGCAAAGGTGTTCAGTATCCACCACTTTCCTACTATGTCATGAAAGAGTTTACTGATGGATTTCGGTAGAATTAATGAAGCCATCTTAAATCTCAATCCTTATCTCATTTGAAATTTAGACTCTAAAATGTAAAGTACATATGACTGCATCCTCCCTGACAAATGTATGTTGAACTAGATGAGTGAACTTTTGCTATGGATCGGCTAACGGAATAACGTTATTCCAAATTGAAACAAATATATAAAAATGTACTTTTTGTTAATAAAAAAACTTGGAAGAAACGCAATGTATTTCTCTGAGAAAAAGTCGTAAATATTAGGCCGGCTAGTTATTTTTATAATGAAACTAGTAAGATCCGACCACGCGATGCTGTTGCTAAGTTATACATATTGTAATAAACTATTCAATACAGTGAAAATATTATTTACGAATAAAGGCGAAAACATTATTGCCGGCATAAAAGTCCAATCGATTGTACTTGAGTACAATGATTGTAAATTTTGGATATCATTATCCATATACATATACAGTGTTCCAATAAAGTCTTCGTACAGTACCTAATAAAAAGTTTATTGATAAAAATCAGCAACACTTTGCAAAATTTTTTAAATTTTTTTAATAAGCATTTGTTTATGACACATTTCATTTTATATTAATTGAAAAAGAAATATATTTCAGTAAATGGTTTCAAAACTATAAATACAAATTGGAAGAATTTCGCTATTTGGTCTACACTAAAGTCTTCGTACATTTCTTTTCAAGTAAAATAAATAGATCTAATTGTGTTGGATTTTAGTATTTAGTGAGGTAGCTCTTGTTTTTAATGACGGCATTAAGGCGGTCTGGCATCGATTCCACAAGCTTTTCGGTTTTTTTTACATCAATTTTAATCCACTCCTCTTGAAGAACCTCTTTAAGGCGAGTTTTTGAACTAATATGATGAGTCCTGATCCGTTTTTCGAGCAAGTTCCAAATATGCTCAATTGGATTAAGATCAGGACTCTGTGGTGGTGTCTCCAGCAAATGCGGAACATTTTACGGCAAGTACATCCTTGTATTATGAACCATGTGTTCGGGGTCGTTGTCTTGCTAGAAATAAAATGCTTCAAACACGCCCAATTTTTCTACACTAGGCTTCAAATTTCATTTCAAAATTTCTATGTACGCACCGTGGTCCATAACTTATTCTATTATTTCGAGGTTGCCAACGCCACTAGCAGCCATACAACCTCATATTATCACACCACCACCTCCGTGATTTACTGTTTTAATAGTATTTTTGGGGTTGTATGCTTCTCCCGGTTTCCTCCATACTTTAATTCTGCCTTCCTTTAGATCCAAAAAGATTCATCAAAGAATCTAATATTCCGCCAAAACACAAGAGTTGCATTTTGGTTTCTCAACGAAGGCAATGCGTTTTTGACGACTTACTATGTTTACGTTGGTGTTTTTGGCGAGGTGTGCGAGACTTAAACCCAGCATGATAGCTTTTCGCACAGTTTTGGGACTAACTTTGTTTTGCTGAATTGGTGAAGCTCTGTAGTGATTTTTTGAGCACTTATAAATGGATCTGCAGTAACCATTCGCTTGATTTTTAGCCGATCACCATCCGCGAGAACTGAAGGCCGTCCAGATTTCCCTTCATATTTAAAACGGCCAATAACCGATTGTATTGTAGAACGACTACAGGACACTTTCTTGGCTACTTCCTCGTATGACTTATTTTGCTTTACATGCAAATTGAGGATAAGCTCACGTCCTTTAACTGACAAAACTCACAACTTTTACTCTTCGAATGAACCACTGAAATATATATATAAATAGTACCGTTATAAGGAGGGTTGCCTATTATTATTTAGAAAGAGAAGTTGCCAGCAAAAACGTAATGTACGAAGACTTTATTGGAGTTGAAATAGCAAAATTCATCCAATTTTTATACACTTGCAACTTGTTGCTACAGAGTATAATAGTTTTGTATCACCTAAAACTAATCAAGTTAGATATAGAGTTATAAATATATAAATGATCAGGATGAAGAGATGAGTTGAAATCTGGGTGACGGTAATCAGACCACTGTCACGCCCACAAAACTCCATTATCCAAAAACAAATAAATTGCCATAACTAAGCTCCGCAATAAGATACAAGACTGTTATTTGGTACACAGGATCACATTAGGGAGGGGCATCTGCAGTTTAAATTTTTTTTTGAAAAGTAGGCGTGGCCCAGCCCCCTTATAGGTTTGATGTGCATATCTCCGCTAAAGCTATAATAACAAAATTCACTGGAAGCAAATGTTTTTAGCACCTCTTCCTACAGTGTGAAGACTGGTGAATAATACGTTTAAAGTATGCCACCATGTGATCAAAAATTGTCTAAATCGAACCAAAACTGTTCAAGTCCCTAGGTACTGAATATGTGGACCCCAGTGCCTATAGTTGACCTTCTACCGAAAATATCGGTCAATCCACAAAGAAATCTCAAACGAGTATACCATTTGACTTTGCGAAAATATAAAATGTTTGGTTACATCCGAACTTAGCCCTTCATTTCTTGTTATATATAGTTTTGAAACCATTTACCGAAATATATTTATTTTTCAATTAATATAAAATAAAATGTGTCATAAACAAATAATTATTAAAAAAATTAAAAAAATGTTGCAACGTGTGATTTTATCAATGAACTCTTAATCAGGTGCTGTACGTGGACTTTATTGGAACACTGTATAAATGATCGATGTTCGTTTGTCTGTACGTCTCTCTAACTGTATTATCATTTTTTGAGATGTCCATCTGAAATTATGCGAAAATGAGATATATCTGTCATAAACTTAACCTAAGACGCTAATTTTAATATATTGAGTTGATGTGCAAAACGTTAACCAGAAGATCAGAAGTGATGATATTAGGGATATGGGATTAAGACCAAGGTCTAGACCAACTCCATTCATATTCAGTGCTAAACCATTAATATATTACGGTTTGTTAATAATGGCAATTATTATATATATTATTATATATAATATATATACAACATAATTTTACATATTTTCAGCATTAAACTAAAGTATATCCAATATTATACGTTCAGTATGCTAAGGTATCTTACGCATTAACCGATATATACAGTATGAGGCCAACCAAAAGTTTGACAAAATTATTACGCCCACCTACCACAATTTTAAATTCCATATAATTTTTTCACTTTCCTGTACATAAATCAAGAACCAATGAATATATTCGGATAAAACTTTACACAAATAGTGCCTTTGAAGTATCCTTGCACGTTGCAAGAGCATAAAATGTTCGGTTACACCCGAACTTAGTCATTCCTTACTTGTGTTTATAATATAATACCTGTGTAGTCCTTTGACTGGCTCGTCGTACTGGTCGCGATGGTCCCTCCTGTAAGTCAATAGGTGATCTTGGATTCTCAGGATTCACGTTGGGGTTAATTTGATGTTGATGCATTTGATGTTGTTGTTCCATAGTCATATATTCGTGCGAGACTAGTATATCCGAAATATGGTTTGAACCCATTTTGATTTCTGTTATATTTAAAAAAAATGAAACTTTTCTGTAATTTCTATACATTCACAGGTATTTAAGTATTTAATTTATTATATAATATAATACATTAGAGGTCTGTCGGTGCATATAATAATATGGTAATAAATTTTCAAGCTCGGCTCAGGTGCATTGCAGTAAAAGCTTAAGTGTTTCTAGTATGTCAGTGGAGTTATATTAAACAAGTACGCCAGTCACGCACATGTGGCATTATGGGATGTGCCAACATCCTCTTGTTATTAAAATCTCTACTGGCTTAAAGCTTAAATTTCTTTATTTGGAATTGACTTGTACGAGTATACCTGTTTCTACGCACACTTCTATATTATAAGTAAATCGGATCTGGTTCTGGAATTTATAGCTTAGCATCGCATATTCTTTATATCCCCTAGCAAATGTCTTGACACTTCTTATTACTTATTTTTGCTCAAATAATTAATTCTGCATCGCGACGGCTGGGGTCCTGCAGCTTAACCAAGGAAAAGGTGTTGCATAACATGATTTTGATATACTCGTATTTCAGTTACAACGAGAAAATGGCCAAAGTTGAATATAACCGATATATTTTTGAAGCAAGCGCAAATACATACACAAATAGTGCTTTCAAGGCATGCTATCTCATGTCTGAAAGTGTCGAAGTTGGACCAAAAGTGTTCAAATCCCTTCAAGGGCTGACTTTTTAAAACACCGAAAATTTCGATTAATCTGTGAGGTATCTTATCTAATCGAATGTCGTGCAGCCAATAGAGGAACACGGCAAAGCTGACATCTCCTCTCTTTTCTTTGCTCTCGTCCTAGACGACATCATGAGCACCCTACACTACACAAGAAAACAGGCATTGTATAGAATCTAACACGGCAACTCGAGGATTTGGAGGATTAGTTGAACTGGCATGCACACTTGAGATAAACATCGCAAAAATAAAGGCTGTGAGACTATTTCACTCCAGAAAAAATCAAATACAGATTGGCAATGATTAAATCAAGTTCGTCTACAGCTTCTGCTACTTCACAAGCATTATAATAACTGAACAAAGTGCAGAAACCGTTGCCAACTACTTGTATAGGAAGACAAGAGTGACGCAAGAATAATAGAATAAATTTTAAGCAAAATCGTAAACACTTTTTTTAATTCGTGAAATAGACTTAATTTTTTAGTTCATAGTGAAATAATCTGACTAAGATTAATAGAATAATGTTACGGGAAAATATTTGACTCATTTTAAAATAAATACTTGTATTAATTGACAACATAATTGCCCATTAAGTAAATGTATAAAAGGGTTTGGGATTGTGTATTTATTAAAAATTTTATGGTGTACCGGTATGAAATGCGTTTTTTTTGTGAAAATCAAATACTAATTTTGAATGGGAAAATAAAAAAATTTTATTCAAAGTATTGACCATTGATTTTTGCACATTTTGACCACCTTTCTTGCAATTTGTAGATACCATGCCAGAAATGTTCGTCTTTTGGAGCAAACAAAATTTTCGACTTCTGCGTAGGAATCGCTTAAAACAAATGGCCATCGGAAAATGCCAAGTCTGGTGAATACGGCGAGTGGGGTAGCCAGCCTCCAGCCATGTTTTTTTGATTTGATTTTATCTTGAACCGACTTTGCTTTGTGTGCAAGTGCTTCTTGACTAACTAACTAGATTCTAGCCCATTCTGGTCGTTTTTCGATCAATGCATGGTTCAAACTGATCGTTTGTTGTCTGTAGCGATTAGTTTTAACAGTTTCACCAGGTTTTAGAAGCTAATGATATTTGTATACAACACCCTTCTGATCCCATCAAATACAGAGCATTGCCTTCTTACCGTATCGATCTGGTTTTGCAGTCAATGCTGATGGATAGTTGTTTCGGATTAACCCATGATTTAGGATTCTTAAAATAAGCCAATTTTTCATCGCCAGTGACTACTCGATGCAAAACTAATTTTCTTTCGTGTCTTTGAAGTAAAATTTTACAAGTGTTTTTTCGGTTTTCCATTTGTTTTTCATTCAATTCATGTGGCTCCATTTTCCACACTTCTGGATCTTTCCCATAGCTTTCAAATGGTCTTAAATTGTTTTTTGTGCAACATTTTACATGGCTGCCATTTGTTTTTGACTCAAAATATCATCTGCATCCAATATTGCTTTCAGTTCGGCGTCTTTAACTTTTTTTGGTGGTCTTCCACGTTCTTTATTTCTCACATAAAAATCATCATCTCTGAACCGTTGAAACTATCTCTTGCTTGTTGCTTCTGATAGAGCATGATCACCATTTGCCTCGACAAGCATTCAATGTGACTCTGCAGCACTTTTCTTCAAATGGCAACCAAAAATTAATGCTTTCCGCAAATCATCACTTTCCAATGTTGTTTGTTCAATAACTGTAAGGTTATTGAATATGTTTGACAGATGTCATGCCAACCTAACAGAAAAAAATTAAGGCTTATTCACAACAAATGTTCCCTACCAACACATTTGTATCTTAACGCTCATACCGGTACACCTGTATAAGTAATTTTAAAATATATTGATTTTTAAAAATTAAGTGTGTAGTGGCAAGCTGCAATAACTATTATGCAAAAAAACCACTAAAAACGTTTTTTTAGTTTTCCTTTGGATATAAAAGTCAAAAAAATTAAAAGTATTTATTTTTAAACAACCAAAATATTTTACCGTAACATTATTCTATTAATTTCAGCCTATTTCACGAACTAATAAAAGTGTTTACGTTATTGTTTACAATTTACATGCTGTTCTATACTTCTTCTCATTTCAAAAGAATTCTGTCTCAAGATGGCGGTTGGCGTAATCTTATATTCTATCATTCTTGAGAGCGGCGTTTAGGCGACTGCAATCGGTGTAGACAAGCTCGCAGCTTACCAGAGTACAAAGCTCAGAATATTCTCCGTATGCGTGAATGCGACGTTGTTGTACGAAAGTGAAACATGGCTGGTCTCGAACGCCATAACTTAAAGACTGCAAGCATTTGGCAACAAGGACCTACGAATCATGCGCAGAATATTCTTACTAGTAACTAGCTCCATATTTTTTTTTCACCTCAAGTTGGTGCAACTGTCGTGAGAACACATGCAAAGTTGCGAGTCATTATGTCAATTAAATATTTGTTTACAAGCCATTTGAAGTTGACGTGTCAGAGTATTTTTTTAATATGGAAAAAACTGAATATCGCGCAGTGATTAGATTATTTGTTTTGAAAGCTTTAAACGCAAAAGAAATTTATGGACAATTGTTAGAAGTGTATAAGGAGTCCTCACCTTCAAAATACACTGTTGAATTTTGGGCTGGTGAATTTAAACGTGGTCGTACAAGGCTTGAAAACGATCCACGCGAAGGACGACCAAAATCCGCAACCACACCAGAAAGCATTGAGTAAGTTCATAATATTGTTAGGGAAAATCCAAGTTTGAGCGGGAAGTTGCTAATAGTCATATCAGACGAACGAGTACTTCATATTTTACATGGACAAGTGGAGTTAGTGCCGCACACGTTAACAATTCAACAAAAACTGGATCGATAACAAATTTCTCAGCATAATTTAGAGTGTTTTAAACAGAATAAAACCGATTTCTTGCGTTGTTTTATAACTACGGATGAGACTTGGATCCACCACCCTGATCCTAAATTGAAACAAGAAGGTTTACAGTGGACTGAAGCTGCTTGTTCAGCCCCAAAGCAGATGAAGTCACAACGATCAGCAAAGAAGGTTATGGCATCAGTTTTTTGGGATGCAAAAGGAGTTTTGTTAATTGATTATCTGCAGAAAGGTAAAACAATCAACTTTGAATGTTATTGCAGCCTTTTGAATCAGCCGGATGAAAAAAATCGTGAGAAAAGACCTGGTTTGAAACCTGAAACGATTCCTTCGTGGAAAGCGTTTTTCGTCGAATGAAGAAGCTATTACAGTCGTAGACGGGTATTTTGCAGAGCTTCCGGAAACTCATTATAAAGATGGCATAAAATTATTGGCGGATCATCGGAATAAGTGTATTAAAGTTAAGGGAGATTATATTGATTAAAAAATATTACGATATATACAATAAACAGTATTTTTTTCATTTGAACGCTGAAACGTTTCAACTAATCTGTAGATATATTGGCCATCTATGAGATAACTGAATGAAATATATGTCATGATGCCAAAAATTAATAAAGCGGGACAATAATTTCCCTACCCCCCATATACACACTTAATATACAAATTTTCAAACATCCGGTTGACTTTATACCTTATGTACTGGTAAATCTGTGAGGTACGTTAATGAAACTCGGACAGCATCTTTTTAAAGTAATTATTTGACGTAACATCAAGAATGAATAAAATCGAGTCAATATAAAGATTTCACACATCCAGTTGGTTTTTGTTTATGTTAATCTTTTGAAATCGTGATTACTAACACAAGTAGTTATTAAGTTCTAAAGAGTGAACGGATTTTCCGATGACCAAAACATTTTTAAATTCGAATATCTGTCTATACACATATGTATACTAGAAGACCCCGTCCACGCCGGAAGATGAACAAATATTCATTCAAATATTATTAGGTAGCATTCTGAATATATCCAGAAAATGTAGAAATTCTGCTTTAATTTCTGCGTTTTGCTTTCGTTTTCATCAACAACAGTTTTGATTAATTTGGAATATGTTAGATTGACTGGCAATAATTGTTGTATTATATATTCAAATTGGTTCGTCAACATCTTGATAAAATTTTAAAAGGTTGTGTAACTTGAGAGCACATACCTATGGTCAGTCGAAGCTTTTGAACACTTCACCATAAGAATTATAGATTCTCATTAGAAAAAGAGCGAGGAATGACCGGTAAGGTCTGTCGGAAATCATCAGGCGTAGTAAGACAGCACCAGTGAACATTTATCGCTGCCGTTTAAATCTTGCATTGTTCTGTCTATTCCGAGTGTTTGTAAGGGTTTAATTTTTTTATCGGCATTATACTCAAAACTTTAAT